GTTAACAATTCGTCTTTGGCATCATTATTATTATTATTATTATTAATATTATTATTGATACGATATAGATGAATATTAATCATTTGTTGATATATTTTTATAAAATTTTATTTAACGGCGAGAGAGACAGAGGCGTAAAATCTCACTAAGCATATAATATATATTATGTAGGCATCCTACGTCGCGGCTCGACTATTTTCCTTTCGATGTGAATGTAATATCACAGTACCTACCTACAATGTATGCATATTAATTATAAATAGATTGCAGTTGTGTAGATAAATGTTTGCGATCGCGCAAAAGTCAAAGCGAAAATACTTGTTTTTTTCCCCCATAAACACGTGTAATATATACTTTCGATTAATATAGCTGTCGATTGAAATAAATTAAAACGATCCAAACGCGCACGTGTTATTTCCAATAAAGTTTCTCAAACAAACACTGCCTGACTTTCCTACGAGATCATATGTACAGAAACATATAATATATGGTACATGGGTATATGTATGTTACGCATGTAACATCGGCACTCGAGTAACTAGAAAAACGATCGGATAAAGACGTGCGCTGAAACGGAAGGAAAAAGCAGTGGTTTCATTTCATCTATGATAAAATCACGATTTCCGGGGGAGAAGCAAGAGGTATATTCCTTTGAAACTTCTATTCACGTTCGCGGGAGACAGATAAATCGCGAGCCAGCTTTGATCTTTTTCCCGGTGAAAGAGAGCCGATGATTGGAATGACATTTTGCATTTCTGGTTTTCCTTCTCGCGTACAAGTTTTTTTTTTTTTTTTTCTTTTCCTTCTCCGCGTCGCACAGGAGCTACACACGCGGATGGATTGAAAAAGAGAAGCCGGACCCCGAGGCGCTGCTCCTAAACTTCAACGCGCGGCTAACGAGATTACTCGTCCCTGAGTAATTGAAATTTCTTGTAGCTTAGATTTTACGCGATGTATACACGCAGACACGAGAGAAAGAGAGAAAAAGAGTTGCGAGTCCAAGAATAAAAATGTGTCCAACCGTCCCTAAATTCCTTTTTCGATGGCTCGTATATTTATTATGTACACGTCAAAAGGTCTAAGATGAAATAATATTGTTATTGTTTTATTCCTTTTTGATACGTGATTGTATAGTATATATGTATATTAGGTAGTGTTGCGAAAAAAAAAGAAAAAAGAAAATAAATAAATACCAATTGTATTCGAGAAAAATTTTTCATTCGTCCTCCGATTAATCTGTCACGATTGATTGAAAGAAAGAATATCATGTAATTTCCTTTTTTTTATCACATACTCGCAGTCATTGTTTCGTTCTAGGTAAGTACGATTTTTCAACTAAGTGTACAATCAATTTTGCCGATATAGTAATACTGAAAAAACAAAAAGAAAAAAAAAGAAAAAAAAACAAAATGGTTTCTAACGAACACAGAAATCATCGACGTTTACATGTTTATCGAATATCTTACATGTTTTGATCAGAGTGGCGCAATGAGCTGTACGAGACGATTTAGTTAATATCTTCTACGTGTTTTACTGTTCACGAAGCGAAAGTCAATTTGTACATAATAATATATTGAATGGAAATGAGGATATAATGACACTACAAAAAAAAAAAAAAAAAAAAAAAATAACGAAATAACGAGCTCGTTCATGACACTAAAAAACACTTACCAACGCTATGTATTTGGTATGGGTCGTGACACACTGTAACCGACCCGTACTCCCCTATGAACAAAGTATAGTTAAATTGCCAAAAGTCTGTAAGGAGTATGGAAATGAAAAAAAAAAAAAAAAAAAAAAAAAAAAAAATACTAATAAAAAATTGTTGAACTGCAAAACACTTGTCTCTTCCTCGTCTGATTGCTCATTTAAACCTCTCCGATCAACCAAAGTTTAGGATTTCCCACGAACCAGAACGACGACATCGCATGTGATATTCCACGCGAAGCACCGTGTTTACCCGCGGCGAGCGCGTTTGGAAAATTCCGACGACGGAGCGGTATATCGGCGAAAAACACGAGAAAAAGCAAGGGAGACGGGGCGCGCTAAGCCGCACTGTCCGCAGAACGTGACCAAAGTCCCGCGGGACGTTAAATGAAGTCCGAAAATCAAAGGGACAAGGAGGAAAGAAAAGAGATACTGGCACGTAAACTTAACGCCGGCAGCCCACCCGCGAAGGTAGGTATACACGGGAGCGAGGTAGAGTTACGAGGCGCTCCTTTTCACCCGCAGAGCGTATAACTTTTAACGCAACAAACTTCGCGGGCTGTAGTGCACCATTACTGTGTATACACGCCGCGAGAAGAAGTAAAATGTTCCAATTTTACGCGCCCGCGCTACCCTCGCAGTCCAGCTTCCCCTCCTTGGTTTATCATTGTCGGAGGCTGCCCGACAACGCTTGGCTGGTTCTAATTGCTCTCCTCTACCTAGTACACACGTCTCACGGTGCTTTCGTTTCCTCGATAGCACCCTACAACCCTGATTTCACCGTGTACACGAGACGAAATAACTATTTTTCGTGGGCGTCGATAGGTAGGGGTGGGACAAAACGTTGGTACACACAATCGTATCGAATCAGCCTCGTCGTCGGGGCGTTCAAAATTCAAGAGGGGCGCGATTAAAGCCGACCCATTTTTTTTTTTTTCCTACCCCGGGGAGCTTTGAATTTCAAATACGGGGGGCCCCTCCGGCTCGTCTAAATTATAAAGCGCATGTACACACCCTCGTGTGTATTCGATCTCGGCAAAAAATCGAGAAGCTTTTTGCATCTTTGGTTCTCATGCTGATGTTTATTCATGCGAGGGCTGTGTCGAGCCTTTTGGGGTGTATGTAACATGCACTCTGTCTCGCGTACTGTAAAAGTAAATTGTACAAACGCGAGTGTCGATCGCGGTTGACTCTGACGAAGGCGGGTTTTGGTATACGACAAAAATAAAATAAACAAAAAAAGAGTCATAAAAACGCGAGGCTCGGTCGAGAGGATTTAATAAAAACATCGGACGATGAATGTACAATTTAGAGTACAATTGTCTGGAGGGAGACCGCTCTGGAAAGGGGGTCGAGCTAATATTACATTTTGACGCTATACGAGTGAGGTACAGGTAAGTTACGGTTAACAATTCGTCTTTGGGTACACGCTAGACAGGGAAGAAAATGGAGCAGGGTGGGTACAAGTGGTAATAACAAAAAAAGTCCCGTGGCCACGTTGAGATCCCGCTCTCGTTACACGTTCTCCATTGGAAATCGGGACTCGAGTAGGTAATTAACGAGCTATAGTGGATCGCAGCTAGCAGGACCGGGGTGTACATGCGCCGGAGCAGCATCTCGTGTTTCTGTGAAGGATGAGTGAAAAAGGGCAGCGGTGGTAGAGTCCCGTACTCTCTGCCGGCCAGAAACCCTAAATTACCCTTAACTGGAGGGTAAAAATTACCGAGTTGTAAGGAGTCGGGGGCTTAAACCACACCACCCGGGGAAGGCCATAACTCTCGTGCTATCTGGGCGGTAAAGTGTGCTCCTTATCCGCGCGTGCGGCCAGCCTCCT